AAAATTTCTCTCACTTCGAGTTGCACATTTCCTTGGCTTTTCCTTCCATTTTTGGCTTGGTTCTCACTCACTGAAGCATAAGGAGGAGATTGGTGGCTTTGGATTGAAGCTTGCACAGCATTCGAAGGACCAACGGAGTTGCTCTGTTAGGTAATTTTACTTCATCTGGAACTCCCATTATAGGCATCAACATAGGTCCATACTGGTTGCATCTGAAACCCTACAATGTGTAGGCAATGTTTGATTGTGTGTTGTGTCTGTTTGAACTAATTTTAGTTTGTGTGACAAATTTATGTGTTGCATTTTCACCATGATAGAAGAGGCTTTATGAAAAACTAATAGCATATTTGGAATCTACGTGAAATTTCCTTTGAGAACGTGTCTAGAGTTTTCATTTTTATGATGATTTTCAGTCACCACCAGTGATGCTCACCGGAGAAGACGACCGAAGCTAGGGCTCTGGCGTCTGAGGTCAAAAGCTGAGGTGGCTATGATGTGTGAGTTGACTTACTTGTGTGGGTGTTGAAAACCTGAGGTGTCATGCCACATCCATTAATGAAACGAGGCGTTTCATTTAATCTGAGGTTCTGTTGGATTGGGCTTAGGCCAATTTGCTATGCACACACCCCTTTCTCAGCCCATTTGTGTGTTGAACATGAAACCAGTTCATCTGGGTTTTTCTATTACACCCCCTTTCACTCTTTTTTCATTTTTATTTCAATTTTTATTCTACTTTCATTTTAATTTTATTTTTAATAGTTTTAACCATTCTAAAAATCCACAAAAAATAGTTTCTGATCAATTGACATGTTGAGATATTTTTTACTATTTTTATTTTATTTTTCATTTAATTTTATTATTTTTAATCAATTCAATTGGTGAAGTGGTTTTATGGTTTGTCCTTATGATTTAGGCTTGAAGTTTGACCTCATTTGAATACCCCCTTTGACCAATTTTCCTCTCACACTTGGGTGTTTGATTGAGGATTATTTAAGGGCTGGGTTGAGGTCTTGATGATCATTTCTTGTTTATTTATTGGATTTTATTTGACCCTCGATGCATGCTCGATAAGTTGAGTACCTAGCTTTGCTTGATGCAATTGGTGATACTTCGATGCCATTCATGTTGTAATATCTCGCACACTGATTTTGGATTGATTTAACTTGAGTTTGGGATTTTATTTGGACTTTTTTTTCTATTTTTGGTTGATGCCTCAAAACCTCTTTGTTTTAACTATGTGTGTGTGTCTTGAACTAGTTTTGAGGTATGGTCTTGTGTGATCTCTCGGGTGCTTGTTGAATCTTGTTTGCTCTTGTTAACATGTTTGAGATTCTGACTTGCATGATTAGATGTCCATTGAATGCTTGTTTCATCTCATATGCTTTGAATGATCATTGTTTTTTACTTGTGAGATGCTTGCATGACTTTGGTGTTCCAACTTGAGTTTGATCCTTCTTGTCCTAGTTTGATAACTTGTTTTTGAACTTGATGCATATAATTTGAGTTTACTTCTGATCTTGATGAATGGATACTTGATCTTCATGTTTTTGTGGAGTGTATCTTACTTTGAGAATGGTGTGAGCATGTGAACCTCTTTTGGGTTGTGCTTGGATGTGTTCTTCTGATTGATCATGAATGAACGTGTGGCTTTGATAATCATGATGTGTTTGCTGCCTCACTTTATTTCTCCCCTCATTTCTTTGTTTCTGGTTCAATGTTTAGTATCATTCTTCTTCAGATGTTTGTGGCATTTGGCTTTGTGTGATTGCCTTGTTTGCCTTTGTGTTCTAACTTCCATCTTATTGACTTGATATGACTTGTGTGTGTCATTGATGTATGTCTCATGTTGGCATGTTCATTATTTTCTTGTGTGTTTTCTTCTCTCATCTCTTTTCATCTTTCATGACTTGTTTAAGTATTTCTTTGTACCTTCATTTGTGATTGATTAGTGATGTGTTTACTTGTGCTTGCTCACATGATCCCTTAGGATTTCTAGTCCCTCTGTTTAAGATGGGAGTAGGAGAGACATTAGGCTTTCAATCCTTTGCATGATAAACATTAGGTAGTCCCTTTTCATCTCAACTCTAGGACCATTTTGCATGACAACATTAGGGTTCCCAGTTCCCTTTAGTGTCCTTATGTCTTCTCTTCTCATCTCAAACTCCTCTAAGACACTTAATAAATAATGACAAGTGTTGTACGCTATGAGCCTTAAGTACATGAGAAATGATAAGTGGGGAGGTCTCTCTTCACTTGTCTAGAGTGTTTATCGTATGCCCTTTGGGCGATATGCGACGCATTCGCTCTTGTGTCATAGTCTTTAGTGCAACATGAGTCTCAAATCAATTCAATCCACTTCTTTTAAAACTCACAAACAAAACTCAAACCTTTCCATCCTTCGGGATTGTCTCAAACTTCACTTTTCGAAAAGAGTACGTTACTTTTCCGTTCTACTGCAAACAGGCATCGTCCCTAACTGCTGGAATGGAGATTTAACGTCACTCGCAAAAATACTTAACCAACCTTGTCCCGTAGTTATCTGACCTACGTTTGCTCTGATTTCTCATACCAGATGAGGATACGTAGGCACAAGACGGCGATGTCTTGGCGAACAACCTCCCCCCATCACCCGTAGTTTCCCGAACTACGTTGACTCTGACTTTCCCATCGCACGAAGGAATACGTAGGCATAGAATGGCGATGTCCTATCGAGTATGTTCTTTCTGTTCACCCCCGTTTAGCAGTAGCTTTTAGATTGTTTTCACCCATAGATTAGACAACAAGCGTGGATCCCGTTGAGTACAACGGACGTGAGGGGTGCTCATACCTTCCCCTTGCGTAACCGACTCCTGAACCCAAGATTTGGTTGCGATGACCTTGTCTTCTCCCATTCTTTTAGGTTTTTTTCGATCGTTTTCTTTCCCTCTCTTTGGGATAAATAACGTTCGGTGACCACTCTTCTGTTTGTTTCCGCCGGCCCTTTTTCGCAGTTGCGACACAGAGTTAGAAGGTTTGTCTTGTGTGACCTTAGGCATCCCACTTGTTTCTCCAATTTCCTTCCAAGTTATTTCATTAACAATGTGTTAATTAGTCTGTCTAGTTATAGGCACATATCTTTTTTGGTTTTCCTTTCTAACAATAGTTTTGTTGGTTTCCTCGGTGATGTTGTTTCTCTTTCTACATACTCGAATTGAGTACCTAATGACATTATAATGACTACAAAATTCTAGAATTTTTTCATATTATATCTCAACAAAGAAGGTAGATTAAAGGTGGAATCTATACAAATAGGTGTTCCTAAGATACCTGTAATGACAAAGATTATCTTGGAGCATCATTACTCTTGGGATATACCATGTATCTTAACCTAGTCTTAAGCTGAAGTTTAATTCACATTTGTAGGGATAAAATCTTTAGACCAGGGAAATAATTTTAAGGATACTTGGGTGTAGATTCCATGAGTTCATAAATTTAACTCTCTGAACATCTTCAAGGCTTGAAAAAGGGAACTCATAGAAGCCTTTACCAAACGATCTTACGCCCCATTTTGCAATGGAATACCATTGAGAAGCGAGCTTTGATTTGATGTTTGCAACCGTCAATGGTAATGGCGATGATCCTTTAGGCCATAGGATTCTACCATGGAGATTATATTTACATGCTGCAAGACCAAACTTGTATTCTTCTTCAGGAATGGTGATGACTAATCTATCTTCTTTTAGGCAAGGAGTGGAAAGTTGACTTTGTGGTGCTACAAATATTGACAATTGCATTTGCAAGAGTTTTGTTCACTTAAGGTGTTTTGTTTTCTACGGGAGCTACAGAAAATGAGTTAGAAAAGGTTGGTGAAATGAGAAAGATTAGATCCGATGCACTTTCCACTAAAGTTGGAGTAGCTAAGCAACCACATTTTTATGAATATCAGTCATTTACTTACTATCCAACAAAAAAAACAGAGTTACTTTCATTAAATTTATTAATAATTATAATTAAGACCACACAAAAAATATGATAAAGAATTTAAATTATAATCATTTTTTAAATAATAAATAATTACAACTATTGAAAAAAAATTAAATGGGCATATTTAGCAAATAATAACATTATAAATGTTAAAGTTAGAAAAGAAAAAAAAAACTATTTTTATTACAGGAAGAAAATGAGCGTTTGTTTTATGAATAGTAAACTATTTAATTTATATTCTCACTTCCAAGTCATTTTAGCACATTTATTTATTTTAAAATTAATCTTTTAAATTTAAATTAATCTCAAAGGCATTGATGATAATAAAAGAAAATTGTGATTTCAAATAATAATTTTCTAATATTATGATTTTTAATCTTTCAAAATCACAATTTTTTTATTGTTACCGCCCTAAAACAGTTTTATAACATAATAAATATGATTTTAATATTCAATCATATTAAGTTAATATTTTAAAAATAAAAATATAATTTAGCGGAATATATGTATCTCATTGATTAACCGTTTAAAAATATTTTAAATTTTTAATGCATTTTTTTATGTAAAAGAGAATTTAAATAAAATGTATTAAAGGTGGAAAATAAATCAGTTAATGATTAATATTTGGTTTTTGTTATATGCATTTATAAGATAATACAAATAATAATGATGATGAATTAAGTGTCTAAAACTTTTTACATTTGTCCGGATATAATAATTAATTTCGTAAAAAAATTATCTATAATAATTAATTTCGTAAAAAAGTTATCTATTATTTAACCAAAAATGTAATCGGTTAAAAATTATTTATTATTAATGGTAACTAAAAATAGTGGAAAGAAAAACCGATTTCACATTAGGAAAAAGGATTCGAATTTTTTGACCGTTGGGCCCATTGTGGTTGAGGTAACCGTTAGGAGAACGTAAGAGCCGTTGGTTTGTAACACAACCTTGATAAAACTACCAAACAAAAATCACAGAGTTAGAGAGAGAAAGTAACAGAGGTTTGTTCTTCCTCAAACCCATCACCATCATTCATGGGTTGCGTTTCCTCTAAACTCATCAAAAAAGACATCAACGAAGAAAATGGTTACCTTAACCATGTTGTTTCTCTCACTTCCTCTACCTACGGAGCACTCAGTCTAGACAAGAACAACAACATCGTCAACAACAGCAATGACTCTTCAGATTCCAATGTTTCACAAGTTTCGGAAACTGAACCAGAAACAGTGTCGAAACCAAACCCATCACCATCCCCATCACCAACACAGAAAAATCCAGAAACAGAAACTGTCATTAACATCAATGCTTGGGAACTCATGGAGGGTCTTGAAGAAGGAGTGCCGGTTTCGAGTATCCCCAAGAAAAGCCCTAAATCCGCACCTTTTCTTCGTGGGTTTTTGGCTTCTGATACAAGAAGTCCTTTGAAGTTTCTTAATCAATTCGGGTCACCGAAAACCACACTCAAGAAATCCTCGGGGAAGGAGAATAAGATTCAAGTTACTAACATGGTTAGAGGCGGTGTTCGTCGTTTGGATTATAGTTATAGTCCTAAGGGGATTTTAAAATCTGCAGCAAATTCATCTCCTAAGAATTCGAGTTTTTCTGTTAAAGGTTCTCCATTTTCTGCCAAAAGAAACAGTTTTGGGAATGAGAGAAAGAGCACTGGTTCTGTTTTGGTTTCTAGTCCTTTGTTTGAACCGGAACTTGTTGAATCCTATGAAAAGGAAGTTTCAGAAGAGGAAGAACAAATCAAGAGAATTGTTTTTGCTACTCCCAAAAAAACACGAAGAGCGAGAAAATCTCTTGACTCAATCACCCTTTTGAATGTATATGAGAACAAGTGTCCTCCGCGAGGAGAAAATTCTGTTGTGATTTACACAACCACTTTAAGAGGAATCAGAAAGACATTTGAGGATTGCAATAAAGTTCGATCGATCATTGAATCTTACTGCGTATGTTTGCGCGAGCGCGACGTGTCTATGGATTCCGGGTTTAAGGAGGAATTGAAGAAGCTAATGGGAATGAAACAAGTTCAAGTTCCGGTAGTGTTTGTGAAGGGAAGATTTATTGGAGGAGTTGATGAGGTTGTGAAACTGGAAGATGAGGAGAAATTGGGTGTTCTTTTGGAAGGGATTCCGGAGGCATTAGGAGTTTGTGAAGGGTGTGGAGGAATGAGGTTTGTGATGTGTAAGGAATGTAATGGAAGTTGTAAGGTTTTGGATGAGAAGATGAAGAAAAGTGTTAAGTGTGGTTATTGTAATGAGAATGGGATTATTCGTTGTTCTATATGTTGTTGAAAACTTGTGTTTGTGTGTTTGTATTTTGGGATGGTTTAACCTAGCAATGACGCTTGATCAGTTGTTTGTTGTCATGTTTGTAGGAGTAGGGTTCTAAAGAGTGTTTTAGTCCCTAATTTGTTGTTTATTTGATTATTTTATGTCTTGTATTTGGGACACTGAATGTTTATTGACTAATCCAATTCAAATTTGAAACTTTAAACACCGTTAAGAGAGGTGTTATGTGACTCTTGTTCAAAATATTGTTTAGATAATGTGGAACTTCATTTTGCAGAAAATGAAGTGTTGCTATGACATTTGTATGCTTGTAACTGATACTTGTATGCTAGTAACTGATATCCCTTAAATCTCTCTCTTTGACTAGTTGACATTAAATGAATATTTCATACTTTACTGGTTTGGTTGGTCAATGAATTCAGTATTGTGGATGTTATTATTATTAGTATGCACCTGCATTGCTTCAAAAAATTACTTCCGCAAATTGTGAAATTTAATGGTACTATTGTTTTGAGCACACATGACTTAAAGAATAGAACTTTCTCAATCTATCTAAATATACAATGATTTGGTCGGAACTCCGAGGTATACACATAACATTGTAAAGCGACTGAGGTGGAAAAGTTTAAGAGTACGCAATGGAAATCAACATGTTTTCTCTTATCAAACAATTGGGAGAAATGATGAGCGGCCACCAAATGAAGGTACTGTGGGAACCAGGTATGGCATGAATTACTTTAAAATGACAATTACAGAAGACAATTGCCTTGAACTAATTTCAAACTTGGGGTAGGGAACGGGAACCAACCCTTATTCGGGAACTATCCTTAAAGATGTCTAATAAAACTTTGGAACACAACGTTAGATGTCAACCAATTTCTAATAAAGAGAACTCGAATACAAGACAACATATATAATAGATAAAAATAATGGTAAGCAAATAAAGAAAGAGGAATAAAATAAAAACAATAATGGAGAATATTAGTTTAGTCAACAACAAGTGTTACAACGAGAAACTGCACTCCGACAACAAAAAACTATGAGTTTGGCTCAATATTAATTTGTCTTTCATCCACCATCTCTTGCTTTAGGCGAATTTATTCCTTGGATATTTGCACTATGAGATGGAAAAATTCCACCTGCCTCAGTGCATTCTTAAAAGAAACTTATAAATTGGAATAAATGTCTTCCACTGGCTTAACACACTATTTGAATAAATACGGGTTTTTAAGACGTATCTCTTGGAGGTCATCTTGAGCCTTCTTCCATCCTCCTGAGTTTTGTTCAGATATATCTTCAGTTTCTTTACCCTCTTTCGTGAGGAATGCACTTCTTAAGTCGCCTCAGCTAAAACAACCTCAATTTTGGATAGTGTCATATGGAAAGATGAAAGGGTAGTGTCCTTTATTTTTAGAGCCAACAATTGCACTTTTTTAGCCAATAGACGAGGATACCTGAAATACTCTATCTTGTTCCCCATTTTCGTCAAATAATCACTCGTCTTTGTGAGCTCCCCTGGAAATGCTTTGTCACGATAGTAATAATATTAATGTATTCCACTCCCGCCTCTTTCTCTTTTTCATATGACATTTTTTCCATCTCTTCATAGTGAACACCCTCATCCTTGCTTTAAAATAAGTATAATCTTCTTTAAAGATAAAAGACCAAATTAAGCTCCTTAGTAATTTGAGGACTAGGACAGGCCAAAAGTAGAGGTGTTGGACATGTGACTCCAGACATAATATAGGGGGTGAATTGTAGAGGTTTAAAAATGATGATTTAAAATAAAATCATTTTTGAAAGTATTTTATAAAAATGTTTGAATAAATGTGTAGCGGAAATTCAAAGTAAAGAAATAAAATGGAAAATAAAAGAGATAAGGGAAGAGAAATGACACTAAAGAATTATAGAGGTTCAGTATAATAAAGTGACATATTCCTCTCTCCAATAATTGATCTTGAGTGTGTCCATTATGCTTGAGAGATTTTAGAAGGTTATTCCCATGAACCCCGTAAAGGTGAGAAAAATACACAAGAAGGAGAGGTTGAATTATGTTTTTCGTTTCTTAACTTTGCCTCTGATCAAAGTTCAAAATAAAAACAAGTGTTTAGATTTTGATTATACATTGCAGCGGAATGTTTAAAGAAGCAAATAAAAGATAAAGAACACATCGATTTATATTGGTTACTCTCAAAAGAGAGTAGTCAAGTCCCCTTGCATCATAAGAGATTTTCAATATAATCAAAATATGATTACAATCGCTTATGCACTTAAGCATAAGACTTTTCTTTGCTCAGATCCTCGGCCTAAGACTTCTTACTTAAACCCCTTAGGTCCAAGACTTCTTCTTAGGTTCCACGAACCCAAGACTAACTTGTTTAAGCCCCTCAGACTTAAGACTTTTGCTCAGACCCTCGGTCCAAGACTTCTCTGCTTAGATTCCACGAATCCAAGACTTCTGCTCAAGCCTAAGACTTTCTTGCTTAAGTTCCACAAACTCAAGACTTCTTTGTTCAGGTTCCACAAACCCAAGACTTCTGCTTATACTCTCAAGTACAAGACTTCTGCTACATCAACAACTGATCAAAACTTTTAATGCTCTAGCACATAGTAGGAAACTTACTTGGCTCAAGCTTTTCAGCAAGAGACTTTGATTCTCAAGCACATAACAAGAGACTTTATCTAAACTACTAAACAATCATGTTTAGCAGAATAGAGAACCAGGTGTACTTGATACAAAATTAGAGGTACTGGGTAATCACCATAACATAAACCTTAAGCACTTAAGATTTCTAAGATATTTAATGTTTAAGAAATCTTAAGGCTTATTACAATTTACAATATATAATAGAAATTCTGCATACTCGATTGTGTTGCTTATTGTTGATCTTGTTATTCCTCTATCCAGACATAAGTGTAGAACACTTATATCCTTCTTGGCTTTCCTTTTATATTTGCCCTTTTGATTGCTCCTTGTTGAAGACTTCAATTTAAATCTTCGGCAACTTATGTAGCAGTTGTAGAAGATTAGACGTTGGAAGAGATAACTTGAACAAGTGTCTTTGGTTTTCCATAGTACAAGAGACGTTGAAGAGAGATACACCAAAAGATATTAATCCATTGTGTAACATGTTTCACCAATGCGTCTTCCATGTAATCTTGTACTATAGATCCATTGAGTGTAGATATCTGTAAAGTATGCCAACTCTTCTTGAGCCTTGTGAATATAGACTCTAGCTGACAAGCTGATTTGACAATGCAGCTTGCTTCATACAGTACGGATAACTAAAGCTTTATTACTAACTCTGAATATTTACTAGAAGCTGATACATTAATTTAGTGTAGAGACAGTATGTTATTCTTCTGATACTGAGTCCTTTAACTTCAGAGTCTACGTCAGACACTACTTAGAGAGTGTTCTTCAGGTTCTAATCCACCAGAAGCTAGTAACTCAGCTCCTCTCAAATACGTCCTTATATCAGATTCTGAATGTCTTCTCTTTAAGCTTTAGAACCTGCATACTTGGAACACACATTAGATAACAACATTGTTCTTTCAATACTTTGTTATCATTAAAATCCAGGAGATATATGTCATAAATAAATCTTGTTCTAACACCCCGTTATACAAGGAAATGAAGTTTTTAGGATAACTTCTAAGCAAACAACAAACAAGGCATGAAGTGGTTAGTCTCTAAACCAAACAACGAACAAGCTTGAAGTGGTTAGTATTCACACCAA